ACTGGGACCAGAAGTTTTGTCTACCGAGCTTTCAGACTCATGCTGGAGCCCATCTTCAGACAACTTCTCTCTAGCAGAGTGTGTGCTGTTCTGTATGTGGTATTTATAGTGCCTGTTATAAGTGGTTTTTTAGATGTTGATTGGGGTTGTGTTGATTGCTGGCTTTTAAGTTATTAGCTATCATTTGTTTGTGCTGCCCAATCCTCGGCTTCTAATTGATAGGTGGTGGTAAATCAGCACTCCCGTTGACTGACAAGGGGCCTGTTTCTTAGGCTTCAGTCACTTCCTTGGCTGTTTTTGTGCCTGCTCGTCCAACAATCTTAGCAGCTGCAAAATTGAATGCGTGTCCTTCTTCATTGCAGTGTGAGGCTACCAATGAGTTAACATCTCCAAGTCTGACTGCTCGCTTGTGTTCTTGCAATCTGGCTTCCTCCCCATCTGCCCTACATAGCCACAAGGGCAATCCATGAAGGGGTTTCGGTAGATTACATTGGAAGTATCTCCCACATTTGATTAACTTTTATCTTTTTACTAGAAGTTTGAGATCCACCAAAATGATGGGTATGCAAATATTTGGCAAAGCAGCCTTTTGTTAATTCTAAAGACCAATGCGGATATAATATAAGCACAATAATTTCATTACATTTTATTTAACTAATTATTAAAATGATTATTTATTGACAATAATATTAAGGATTCTTTTAATGTTATTAGAAGACCAAATCTTGATATTTTCTACCATCAATTTATTCCTGGATTTTTAAATATTTCCTCTATCTAATATAGAGGATGAGAGAGAGTGTGTTTTGTTATTTAATTTATAAATATTGGTTTCTTATATATACTACAACAGATTTTCCTAAAATGTGTTAATATATACTAATCTATATTCTGCTACTGAATTCTTGAATTTCATTATTTTCTATTTCAAGTTGGTCCTTTTCCCTAATACTGCTGCCACTGCAATTTTAAAAATTACATAGGGGAGCATGCAAAACAGTGAAATTTAACATGGTTTTATTTCAGCTAGGCATTATAATTATGAACATTTAATTAAATAAGAATTTGATCATGTATTTCTACAATAAAATGTATCTTCCTAGAAGAAGCCTTATCCAGCCTAATAAAACAAGTTTATCTTTAATTGCTATATTGTGGTGGTTTTTGGCCTTAAACCAATGAGCTAAGACTAAACAATAGAAGACAGAAGATATTGTTAGGATATTTTTCTTGAGTCAGGAGATAAAACTGAGGTTTTATACATACAAAAACACATATTATTTTTAAGACACACAAAGAAACAGAATACTACTGTTGTAGAACCTATTGATCCTACTCAAGAAGAAAGTCCTCTAGATGGTTATGATTCACTTTCCAATAGGTTGGAATTGCTAGTCACATATTTCAAACCAGTAATCAGCCTAAAGATATTTTTTGTGTTCTCTTATATATGTTTATAATTCTCACCAGACTAATTCTTTAATCTCTCCTACCAACTATTTAACCTCTGTCTTTCTGTCTCTCTTAATCCATTTACCACTGTGGATTACCGTATATTCCGGAGTATAAGACGCACCCTTTTCCCCCAAAAAAGAGGGTGAAAATCTGGTTGTGTCTTATACACTAAATACAGCATTTGTGGCCTCCTGAAACTCTGCCCCCTTCACAAAAATGGCCATGCAGAGGGTTTGGGAGACCTGCAAAGTCCTCCTGGGGTGGGGGGAATGAGCGTAAAACGGGCCATTTTTGCCCCTTCCCCCCCCCCCAGCCTCCAGGAGCACTCTGCAAGCCTCCTAAAGGCTAT